CATTTTTGGGGCCGGAGCTGCTCGTATCTCGAAAAATTCGTAAGTAGGGGCGTTCGTAAGTAGAGGTACCACTGTATATGCATAACAGAAGTTTAACTAAATTTAATCAAGACTGGCTTCCCTATATTAAATATTATGTAGCAAGGTAAATACAAGAGTGTGGATTCTAAAGTCTCTGCCAATAAGTACTGCCAACTGGTTGGAGTATAAAGAAGGGGGAAGTCAGAAAGTAAATATTTCCCTATATTGTTTATAGGAGTGTTTTGTTGTAGTTTTTTAACATTTATAAATAATAATATAGTGGAGATTTTGGCATTCCGCTCAAAAATGTATACATTTTTTATATCATGAAAACAAATCAATGTACTCTGGTATTTTTTATTAATGTTATACTTAGTATTAATTGTGTAACTTCAGTAATTATCTGTCCATTTGTAGATAATATCTTTTTTTGAAAACACACTTTTGTTTTACATAGACATTTTTAAAGCAAGAGGGAAAAAATCTGGGTTAATTCTTTTTCTGTATTTATACCAGACATTCAATATATTGCTTAATATTCCATGATTTCTTATAAATTGTTTGTTTCTCTTTGTATCAATCCAGAGATATTTGTACAGATCATCTGGAAGTCCTGCCCTTTCTGTAGAAGTGCCCAGGTTGTAAGGAGAAACAGTCTGTTCTTTAATCCATGTTAAACAACTGGGATGATAATACAATTTAAAATTTGAACACACCAGTCTGCCTCACTCTTTTGAGTCATATAAAATTTTGAATGTAATCCTTGGTCATTTATTGGATCATATGTAGTTCATAACTTGTTTATGCCAGTCACTTAATAACTTGTTTTCAATATATATTTGAGTCATTTGGAAGACAAAGTTAAGTCTTGGTAAAATATTTATTTTAACAGCTGCAGTTCTTCCTAACTAAGACAGTTTCAATTTTTTCCATCTGGAAATATCTACTGTTATATTTTTCCAAATCTGTGAGTAATTATTTTTAAATAAATCCTTATTTTTTGTCAAGTAAATTCCTATGTATTTGACCTTTTTTGCACTAGTGTTAAACCCCATTATTAAATGCAGGTGTTGTTTTTCTTCTTCTGTTTAAATTCCATGTCAAAATTTGAATTATATCTTTACTGATATGATTACCTGACACAAAACCATATTGCTGTATATATTCCACTATCAATTCTAAACAGTCTTTTGATTGGGTAGCTGTCGGTAGATTATCAGCATGTAATTTCAATTTGTATTCTTATGTTCCTAGTTTAACTCCTGGGATTTTATTTTCTTGATGTACTTTCATTGTCCATGGCTCTAAATGCCAATAAAAAGAAGTAGGAGAAAAGGGACAACCTTGTCTTGCCCCTTCAGTATGGGGCAAGTTTAATTATAACATCCCAAAGAATACAAGATGATACTGATCTATCATAATTCTCATAAGCTCCAAGAGTTTTCCAGGGAAAAATTATGAACTCAAAACATTTGAAATAACGTACCTTTGTGCATGTCCAGACAAATTACAGGATAAATTGTGTGATAAATGTGACACTGAAATATATACAATCACTGAGCTTGTACAGAGATAGAAAGAATATTGGACTTCAGCACCCTCAGACAAAATAAATTAAATTTAACGCAACTCCTGCCTAAAATGTTTAACTATTTCTTAAAGATAAATTTGAGTCTGAAGCAAAATCCTCTGCTTCTTTTCCTCTATCAAAGATCTTGGGGAGATGGTATTTCCAGCTCAGCACAGCAACTTCTTTCTCTGTTCTCCAGAATTCTGCCTTCATCTTCTAAAACAATAAACTTTTTTTTCTCTACGTAGCAGGGAAGGGCTTGAGGAAATCTTTGGAGCATACATAGTAAAGCCCATGCATGAGAGAAGGTGTGTATTCAAACTCAGACACCGTCTGGCATTTAGACTGGCAGGGAGGCTGCAGTATTGTGAATCCTGACTGGCTATTCAAAACAATGTTTTATCGTAATTATACTATGTATGATTCTTATTCATGCTCTTATTCTGAATAAGTCCTGGATAGCAGAGAAGGAGAAAGCCTTTCTCTACCTTTGGAAAGAGTTTTTCACTGACAGAGCACTTGCTTTGTGTACAAAAGGTTCCAGATCACTCTCTTAATAGGTCCGTTAAGTGCCCAATACTGTCTCCGTGCCATGACCCAGTCTGAATCCAGATATAAATGAATAGAGAAAATTAATTTCATCCAGGAATATTGGTAGTTACTCTATGTCCACCCTCCTGTCCATCATGGCAAGAAATGGCAAATTTGATACTGGCCAAAGAGGATACTGGTAAAAAGGAGAAGGACCTAGAGATGGTTTCTTCAAAAGGGGATGTCCACAGCTTCCTTCAAGGCAGGAGGTACTTTCCTACCAGTGGGAGGTGTTAAAAACATCAAGAATAATCCCCTCAGTTCATCCCTTGTTCCCACTACCAGCTAAGGTGTAACATGAACTCATTTAAGCATCCTGTCCCCAACCTCAAGGCATACAGTTGAAAACTGATCCAATAGCACAGAACAAGACAGTGCATTGGTGTCATCCCCACAACCATCACTAGTAATGGCATTTATCTCACCACAAATGTGAGTGGCTTTATCTGTGAAAAATTCCATAAAGCCTTTACAGTCTGCTGCTACAAACACTAAGAGGGCACGCATGATCCTCTTAGGTTGTGTCGGCTCCATAGCTATTGGATCGAAAGGGCATACAAGCCTCAGTAAGTATGTAAGTACATGTGCGTACACACAAACCGACCTGGAACAGCTCCTTGAGGCAATTTCAGCAGATGCAATGGAGGCAGCTAAAGTTTTTTCTCCTCCATTACTGCCACGACATAGCTCTCCAGGGCACTCTAAGCTGTGTTTGGACATGTTTGCTTTTGAACCATGGCAACTTGCAACTTAGTGAACTGGCTGAAAACACTTAGTCAAGCAGGTTTTATGACAATCAGGGGATGGGAAAGTGTTTAAAGCCATGATATCTGGAGTGTCATGCAGTCCTGAAATTAAGGTTGCAGGCGAAATGCAAGTAGTTTAGGTGCATGTGGTAGCAGACTGAGTTTTCCAGTATTTACTCGCTTCCTATTTCTCTACTTTTCCAATCGACTGATATGCAGTATTCTTAAATTTATAAACCTGTCAGTCTCTAATGCATCTTTTTAAAATCAATGTGAGACTTGCTTATTTGTGCTAGAATTTGTAAAGAATAAATACTACATGCTTATGGGCAATTAATAAAAGGAGTGCCTTTTCCCAAAAGATTACTCTAATGTGACAAAGATACTATATTCTGGTATGAATCAAGACTGATATAATAGTATATATTCCCATTTAGCTTTACATTCTGTTTAATAACAACTTTAATTTTATTATAATAACAAGTACATTAATAATTTGTTTTTCAGAGATGGAAAACTTTGAAAAACTATTATCTACAGTTAGTCAAAATACCTTTATGGTGTGACAGTATGAGTGAGCCTGGTTCTTGATCATCATTATGTTAAATGAGTATTCTCGGCTGCTATGTTATTTTATGTTATTTCTGTTCTTTTTTTTTTTTACTGTTTTTATTCTGTTTTTAACAGTTAGCCACCCACGTGAGATGTGCAACCATATAAATTTATTAAATAAAATAAAGAAACAAAAATATCTGTATGATATGATGATTGCTGTGTACTTGGCTCTTTAGAAAGTATAATCTAGATAAAGTTTTATTTTAGTATACTCAAAGGGGGTGGGACACTCATATCTTTTGAAGTTTGTGATTTTTGACAAGTAAATTTTGAGTTTATAAGATTTATCCAGCTGTTAGCCCTTTCTCTATGTAACGTCCTCAGTGAGTTTTCATTCTTAGCATCTTTTATTCAAATTTAGTTAAACCAATTCCTTTGCTTTCATGAGTTTGTCTTACTAGGCATTCCAGGGGTCCCAACTCCAAATTAAAAATTAGAGGAGATAAGGGACATCCTTGATGAGTTCCATGTTGCATTTTAATTAGTGTTTTCATTTTCAAGTTTTCTTAGCAAAACTGTTTCTTCCAAAAATCATATTTCTTATCCAAAACAAGATTCAGTGTGTAGGAACTTTGGTGCTGTTTAAGAAATCATTTCCAACTTGCATGGCTTGAAGGCACACAGTGCAGTAACCTTACCGAAGCTGACACTGGGTAGATGGCAGTCCAATTCGAGACTTGTGTCAAAGTTGCTTATTGCACACCTGAATTCCACAAATTGGCTTATTCAGATCCTGGCTCTTCACTCAGTAGCAAAGGAGCAGAAAGCACTGAAGAAGTATTCATGTTAAAATCAAAGCATGCCAATGGGACCAATGTGCTTTGCTTATGGTTAGCTAAATGATAGAATGTAAACCATACAAGATGGTTCATTATCAAAATGGATGACTACGATCTGATTTTTGTATCTTTGCTCCATTCAGTATCCATAGAACAAAACTTTGTACAAAAATAAACGACTTCGTCATTCTCTGTTGTGGCATTCAAAGGGAATGTTGCTTAGAGACATGCAGTTTGAAACTGATAATCTAGTGCTTTGTTCTTAGCATTTTCGTAGCGTTCTTTTTCTCATGTCTTAGGGCAAGACATGTCTCCTCCAAGGGAAATCCACATAATAATAGGTTCTTTACATATATCAAGCCATATCTACTTGCACTGGAAAAACATTATACAAACGTTTTTATTGGAGGAAGCTAGCTATTTCTTATAAACTTCAGGTGTTAAACACATCATTTTTTTAAAACTGATCACTATATGACTTACTGTAGTACTTTATAGACAGAAAAGGAGGATATTTATGGTTAACATTTATTTCCTTTCCCTCTTGTTAACAGAAATCTAAATGAAGTCTTTTGACTGCTTATGCTGCGCAGATGCACAACAAAAAATAGACTACTCAGAACAAGTTTGCAGTTAAATCCATTCCATTCCCAGTGTTGCTATACAACAAGGTATAATCAGGAATCTACTTTTATTTTGTAAAGTAAAATATATTTTCTTATCCATATCTTATTTTTAAATCTTTTCATTACATTTTAAAATAAAGTAGACAATTTCATTTATAATAAAAGAGACATTTAGAATATTCTGCAAATTAAGAAGCAAAGAAAAAATCGAATAATTAGGAGTAGTAAAAGATATAACAAAGATTTGCTCTGGTACCTATATACTGTTGTGTGTGTGTGTATGCATGTGCGCATGTTTGTGTATACATACACACAAACATAAAATTTAACTTGTCTTTTGTCTAATTGGCACTCTTAGCTATAAAATGATAAATATTGGGTTTACTTGTAATTCTTAATTAATGAGCAATCTTATCCATTGTTACATTTCTTATAACTTTGTACAATACTCTTGAATAGTGGCATATATTTTATTTCCTCTATTTTGCTGCACTTCTAAATTTGAACCTACTAAAAGGCAGAAATTTAGTTTTCTTCTAATTCAAATATTATTTCCTTATCTGTATCACCAAACAAAGCTGTCCCAGAAAAAAAGAGCAATACTCTATACGGATTTTGTTTGTACAGTATCTTTGGTCATAAAAGCCCACAATTTTAAAAAGGAAGAAAAAGATCTGGTTTCTAAAGCATTACATCCAGGAACTTTGTTGGGCAATAATGCCTTGTGCCTCTGAAGACCAAACGGGACTTGAATTTTTACAGCGCATTTTTTCATAGGAGGCTGCAGTTGAGGCAATCAAAACTTACACATCTATATCATCCATACATATGTAGAACTAATATTATGCCATGGTTAGAATATTGCACTAGGGCTGGTGAAATCCAAGGTCAAACTCCCGTTAAACTTTGATACTTCTTAGGGGACTTTGCCTTACCAATACAAGCTATTGAGTCAACTCCTGGTGACTGTATGAACAAATGGCCATCTTAAACATATATTTATTAATACCTCATTGCTCTTTCAGAGACATACTAGGGTTTTTTAAATCTCATCCATTTGCCATGTCCTTTGTCTTCTATTCTCTCATCTACTCATAAGGTTGTTGTGAAGTAAATGCAAGGAATGTAACCTTAAATAGCAAAATGGAAATGTTTGGCATGCATAAATATCTGCAGAGCCCAGCCAAAGGCTATATAGTTGTCAGATTTTACATAGGAAGTACACATATAATTTTATATCTTGCTTTTATAAATTTGTTTTTCTCAGGATAAAAACAAATTTTAGAATTCTCTTTGAATGACTTACCTAGGCTATAAATGCTCTTTTTATATCCATATTTATTTTTCTTCTGATATAATATCTCATAACTTTATGAGAAGACCAAGCAACAGCATTCCTTTTTCAGGTATGACAGCTCTTTATTCTCCATTTAAGAAAATAGAAGTTACCGTAGACATGTCTTTGAATTGTCCAGGGGGTTAGCAAATGGAACTGATTATCCTGACATTTCTAGGATAAATACAAACCATTTTAGAAATTCTGTGTTACCCTTTAGTGGAAATTATAGTATTTTTATTGATGCAGAATGATCACACAAAAATATAGATGTGCATTACTAGTTGTTACATAGAATTATATCACTATTGTTAAAAATACATAGCTTCATTGTGTTTGATCAGATGTATCTATTACATACATACAGTGGTTAGAAGTATTTGCTAATCCTCTTGACAGCTGAACTTTTTCCTCTGGAAAGCATAAAAAAAATATGAAACTATTATTGGAATTAAATCTGCATCTTAGATTTTATGAATCTCAAGGCTGAGTTGACCAGTTTTCAGTTTGGATTAGGGGCTAAATTCAATATTTCATAAGCAGAATTACATTCAGCAGAACATCTCTTTGTTTTCCCCTTCTCCAATACATGCTTGCATGCCCTAGATCTGCTTCGGAGGATCTTCCAATTCTCTGGAACAGATTTAGAGAATACAGTGGGGTGGGGTGGGGAATCACAAGCAGATGTTGTTTTACCCTGAAATACACCAGTAAAGCTAACTCTACATAACTAAAAAGAAACTAAAGCACAATGGGTGCTCTGTCTGCAATTTTCATATCAGCCATGCCAGACTTGCTTCTTGATGAGCTGAGAATCCTTCTCATGACTTAAGCTCCATTAGTCTTACCATTGTGAGATTTATGGAAAGAACATCTGTTAAATGGGGGAAGGGAAAACAAGTTGCTGAATGAGCTTCCAGGAGCAGCACTCTTAGCCTGTGACAATGACTGGGAAGAGTCTGGATTTTTTAAAAAAAATCTGGGTTTGCAAAATTAAACTGGAGTCTCAATACTGTTCACATTAAAACCATGCTTCCACTAAAAAGAAAAACACACAGAAAACTGTGGAAACAAAATAATCTATTAACATGAGAGAAATAATGTTCTTCTGGAAGACCAAAAAGCAGCACATGGAACATTTTAATGATTTTGAATAGAGATGTTAATGCTTAGATATTCTATGGATGCTTAACCTAACAGAATCAAAGTATATTTCATTTTGCATTGTTGTGAAGAAATATAAAAGCACAAAATATAACACTTCCACTGGTTATGTTCACTGTATAGTCCATTTGCACAGTGTCTGCATACAATTAAAGAAAGCTGACAATTTTTGAATTCTTTGAGGCCTTGACATTGATTTCAGAAACTTGAGAAGAAAATGTGGCTTCTCTGCATCCTGTCTTGGTTTGTGCAGTATTGGAATTATCACAACTAGCTGTATTTTGACTGACCTGAATTTTGAAAGGAATCCTAATTAGATTTGAGCAGATTTTATCTGTACTATTTGGCTAATAACTGAAAAGCAAATTCTGACTTTAATTTCTCCATGGCAGATACTAAATGACCACAATTTAAAACAGAGAAAACTTAATTGGCTATGATTACCATTTTACATTGTTAGGCTTCTGCACTACGATGGAGTTCATGGTCCAAGGACAGGATCATTAAGAAGAGAAATCTGGGTTTTAAAATATTTATATGAACATGTTATCTTTCATCATAAAATTCTGTTTTTTATGTTTTTTTCCATAGTAAACTCTCTCTCCTGCAGTAACTCTCTTAGATTGCTTTGAAATTGGATCCACCTAATGTTCTATATTTCCTCATACCATTTGTTATGAAAGTGCAGCTTTAAATTAATAGGCATAGCTGTATGGCCCACACATTTAATCCTTTTCTTGCTATGCTGCCTTTTGTAATATAGTTTGTCTTTTATGGAAAGTTGCTCTGAATGTCTAATGTGCTTCAAATAATGCAAACACTGTTATAGTTTTCTTTGAGTCCCCTCAGTTTTCTTATGGAAGAGAGTGCCTGGCAAACCTTCAGAGGCATGTGAGTACTTGCATTTGACTTAGTCCAGCTCAGGACTAAACACCTGAACACAGGGCTTAATGATATACGTAGGGCCATGATAAGGAAAAGGCTGTATAGGCTTCTAAGTGCATTTTAGCTTCATAAATATATCCACCCCTGCAACATGTTGTATGCAACACTAACCTGGCCTAACAGATTTTACAGGGATTTCTATCATGCCACCTTAGTGAACACAAAGCTTTTCAGACATCTCTGCATTTGTTAGAAGTTGAAAACTCAGTCTTCCCTTATAACTGTCCCCATCAGGATGATGTTTGTAAACCACTAGCCAGATATACACAAATACATGTGGATCAATGTGTAAAGTGTATATGTATGTGTATCTTTTTGCTCTCTCTTTTGTGATGAAAGCAGAGGCTGTGCATTAAATCACTAACTACTGAAAGCAACTAGGAGGGGTGGTAAACTCAGCAGTTTGGAACAGAATGCTTGTTTACTTACAACTGTGGAGTATCCATACTTCCTTTTTTTGGAGATCTAAGAAGAAACAGCTAACGACACAAAATGGGATGTAAACAATTGTGAAACCAATTGGTCAGCAACACAAATCATCTTGAAACCACCACAGCATATATTTGAGGACAGTAAATGCCAGCGGATGGAAAGATTCCTTGTTACACTACTTATAATAACAAATGTCTTTTGTTTGAGGGGAAACAGTCATTCTGGCCTTTACATTCACAGTAGTCTATGATGAATAGAATGTGGTGACACATATTATTAGGCAAATATAGTTTTTGTAAATCAGAATTATAATCTGAGGCCCTGATGTTGAAAGTTCAGTGGAGCACTGTTAAGGACCTTCTCTGTAGTGGCATACTGATGGTGGAAGTCCTTTTTTTAATACTTGGTACCTGGTTTCAGGGCTACTAACTTTCAGAAACCAAAGATGCAAACATTTGTTTGCTTTTTTCATGTCAGCACTTTGTTACTTTTTAAATGTAGACAGATTGTGTTATTTAGTTGGTTTAGAATTGGTTTTCAGATGGATGTTTTGAGCATTCATGTGATGAAAATGGGGTTTTTGAGGAGGGGAATGGGTTCAATTGCTCTAATTCCCATTAATGAAAGGGGACCATCAAAAAATGCTTACTGTACATATTTGAAAGATGGAGACGGATATTCATATTTCCCAAAGTTAGTAAACTAACAAGTTAAAATATAATCCCAAGAGCTTTTTCAGGTTTCTTCACACACTCCCAATTAATGGGTCATTGACTACAGTGATCAAAATGAGGGGAAAAAAAATACTTGTGAGGAGGGACCTTATATGAACCTTTTGCTTTTTTGGATCCGTCAGAATCTTTAAAAAGCTATGGAAGGAAATCTGTGGTCAGATTTTTTTTCAAAACAAATAGAAGAAATACAGATTTTTTTAAAGAGTATGAATGTGCCATAAGTAATATAAGATGTAGTAATATGAGTTTATTTTAAAGTTGGCTTTTGATGAATCCTAAGGATGATTTAGAGCAAATGACTTGTTTCAGTTTATTTCAGTTAATATCAGATAGCAGTTTTAAAAACTAAACATTCCTCATTATGGCAGAACTAACAAATCGTATTAAATGCCTTGTCAAAGAAACAACAGAGAATTCAATGTTTAATTCAGTACTTTTTGAGGCTATCCTTGCAGTTTTCCCCAGGAGTAATATGTTGTGATGCTGACCAGGTAGGGGGAGGCTTATTTGTTCTTAGGATGGAAATGATGCGTGTAGCGCAGCGCCTTGTCCTTTTCACTCAATCCAGTTAAAAGTCATCATAAGTAAATTGCATAAAAAGTAATGGGCCGTTGGGACTTGAGGGATTGATCCCTAAAACAGTTTCTTCATGGATCTTAAATTCTAGCTACATATGGATGGTTTGTAGAGTGGAACATATTTAACTTCACCTGCAGTCTGAATAACCATTGTGCAAACAGCTGGAGCAGTGAAAACCTACAGTGGGCAGAGATCTTGCATATAGAACAATTCAAAGATAATAGTAATTAAGAGATAAGAAAGAAAAGCAATGATTAATGAAGAGTAGATGAACCTGTTAAAGTCTATGCAAGCAATGGAATGAAGTCACTCGTGCAAACTGATTGTGAATAGAGAACCAAAAAGTGTTATGGGATGTATCTCAGACATGATACTGAGATGTGTTGATTTTCTGCCATTATTGAGAATGATTCTAAAATAAAGGCTGTTATAGATCCATCTATCCCTCCTAAATTATTTTTAATAAGAAAAAAAAACAATGAGAATACACAAAGATTACAAGAGAAAAACAGCCTTCCAATAAAATTCTGTTCAATGAGGTATGATGATTGCATGATAAAACTTATATTTGGAATCACCCTGAATCCTCACTGCTGCTTCAGAATCTAAAATTAAAGTGTGCTGCAAACAAAAAGTGCTCTTCAAATTTCATTACCAGCACAATTGGTATATGGTGCAAGTGAACTAGGTTTGATGACCCTGTTCTCAAAAGACTTGCAGATTCTTTGTCTCATTTGTTAAATAACAATGGAACAAACAAATGAAAAGGTATTTAAAAAGATGATTCATTCACTGCACTTTGACACCTTTGTTTCATAATTCAGTGTGATTCATCCTCTTGGCTACCTACAAATTCATGGCAAATTCTTCATTAATATCAACTAGAAATAGGAGGAGGAAAGAGTTTATAAAGTTACTAGTGGGGACATAGCTAACATAAATACAATTTACATTTAAATATTTTGTATCCCTGTATTATCTACATACTCAGGTTTTCCTGCTTCTAGTCTAGTGCCTTAGTCACTAGACCAAACTGGCTCTCAATCATAACTTAGTTTTTATTAATTTCAGAACAGCTAATTTTGTCTGGAACCAGGCAGTGTCTCTCAACCAGGATTTCTATTCCAAAGAATTTAAGAGCCTCAAAGAACCCAGAGAAAAGAAACTACTGTAAGAAATGCCAAGTAAATTTGTGAAAATAACCACAATACCTAACAAAGTGAGACAGGATTGGTTCACTGAGTAGGTGATCAATCCAGGATTCTCTACAATTGCTTTCACATCTGCCTGCTATAGATCCGGTCCTGTATTTCATCTAAATAGCATCGCTTCTCTGTCCTTTGATATTTGAGCAAATTAGTCTAGGTCTAAGTAAAACTATATGGAATCAAAAATGCCAGTGCTGATATATAAACTATAAAGCACAAAGATAATTTCCAGCTTATGCTTATTGTAGATTCTCTTTTTCTATGGCAAGACAACCTGGGTTGGTGCCATGGCAATAAGATTGTAAATGTAAGTTGAAAGATTTCATTTGGCAGAGTCTAAATATGGTTCAAGGTATCTGCATGCCAAGAATCTGGGTAATACATGGGTAATTAGATGTTCAGATATGGAGCCTATGCTACTTTAAGTAAGAAAGGATTAACTCCTTTTGTGTCTCAAGCAGCTGAAGGATGCTATGGAGGTCCACTGATAATAGCTAAGAAATAAAGGGATCTTATAAGGAGAAAAGAGATTTTTTAGAACAAAATAATATACCAGAGAAGGTAAAGAGCTAAGGTGCTGCCATCAGGCAAAATCATAAACATCTAGATATGTATCTGGACAGTGGTGGATGATGGCATCCAATTCATTTTGGAGGAAAAAGCTTGACTCAGACAGGAAAAGGAAAATCTGTTCACTAAGGTCATCACAGTGTGCTAGATGCATCAAAGTCTTAAATATTCAACAGAAAAAACAAAGCAGAAATCTTTGTACATCTACACAGATGTATCAGCAAGGATACATTGTATTTTGCAAACTGACTTTTGGGAACAAGATATACATCTTAAGGTGGATCCTATGTTCTGTGAACTATGTCTGTTGCTGATCCCAGATGTAGCCATTAGTTTTTTCACCTGCTTTATCTTTGTACAAGGGTGAACAACTTCTATTGTCTTAAGGGCATTATGAGGCTTTATATGGCAAGCTGAGGGCCATATTCCCAAAAGTCCAGCTTGGAAGGTATTTTTAGGAGTTTTAGCATTATGAGACTTAAGACATTCATTTTGCCTCTTAAAACACATAGAAAATTCAAAATTATAAGAAGTACCCAAATTTTGGTTCCACTTCTTCTGGGAGCCTCTGAGGAATTAAAAAAGGGAAGCTGGTGGGTAGTTGGTGACTTCTGGACTGCATTTTTTTCTTGTATTTACTTTTCCAGTGATAACACTCTTGAGGAAAATAAAATTGTTTTGGGGATCAGTTGGAGTATTTCTCATTTAATAGTTCTTTCTTTTCTGATAGGTATTGATGATGTTGTGGTGATAATGATCCCTGAGCCAAAGGGGAAAGAAATAGTGAGTCTACTGGAGCGGAATATTACTGTAATGATGCACATAACAGTTGGAACCCGTAACCTGCAGAAGTATGTTAGTCGTACTTCTGTGGTGTTTGTATCTATCTCCTTCATTGTGCTGATGATCATCTCCTTAGCATGGCTGGTCTTCTACTACATTCAGAGATTCAGATATGCAAATGCCAGAGACAGAAATCAGGTGAGTGGCTACTTAGCTTGCAAATAAGTACCAATCCTTCTCCTTTTTCAAAAAGAATTCACCATAAACGTGGTATACACATATTTTTACCTTCAGCTCCCAGAAATCTGAGAAATATTGATTGGGGATTCTTGTTAAAATGCAACACAACTGGAACTGGATTGGTTTATGTCATGTTTAATTTTTTAGTGCCCATCAAAAAAGTATTCATCATATATATATAAAATTTGCATAAGAAATAAAGGAAAGTGTATTTTGTAAAGTTAAATATGGAGACAAAGAGCAAGAAATTGATCAGCTAAGTCCCTCTCGTCTCACCTAAGGTGGATAAATTAATATAATTTAGCACAAGTTAATTAATATATTTTTACTTGGATTACATCAGTCAATGGACTAATCAAGTCCATATGCCTTAAATCAGCCAATGCATCGAATTAATAAGCAACACAATATACAGTATGTCACTACTTCTTACTTGAGTGCAGGAGTTTGCAACTTGCTGTTCATTGATATGATAGTACCACTTTCATGTGTCATCAAGATTCTCCTTATGGGCCCAGATAATTCTGAAGAAAAAGGAAAGAAAGGAAAGGACCTAGAGATGTAGGGCACATGAAAGTGGGCTGGAAGATTCAGCACAAGGGCTGGAAAAATAAATAGCAACTATTTTAGATAGGCTGGGATGCTTGTGTAGTGGTTGAATAATGTATGTTTGTGTAACAATCTGTCACCTCCAACTCCCAATGAAAGAAACTCTCCGTGAAACCAATGTAGGTTCAAAGAAAAGTTCATTTATTGAGAAGTAGTAAACAGGTCCCAAAGATTGCTAGACTAAGCCCGTGCACGCCAAAGTTACTTTTACCCATTTCTGTTGCCCCCCCCCCCCCACCGCCAGCTTTCCCAGTCCTCTTGTCCATCTCCCATTGGTATGACCTTCAGCATTCTTGAGAATCTGATAACAGCCCATCTGCTTCTAACGGCTCCTTCCTGGCATGGCACCCTCCCCCCCCCAACTACAATGGCAGAAACGAAGCAAGCAAGCTAATAAGTTGGTTAATTGATTGCAAGGATTCTGACATGCCACCCCTCTGGAAAAAACCCTCAGTTTGGGGTTGTCGAAGTGTCAATCTGAAAGACAAAATAGCAAAGGAAAACATATGTACAAATATACAACAGGTTAGATATGGTTATTTGGGTTTATCTGGCTAACGTTTGTAAAAGTCCCTGATTAACTGCGGTGCACTGACATGTTTCTTTTCCACCCATTCACAGAAAGACCTGGGGAAATGTTTCCACTGAACTAGGAGTTGAATCTCCCCATGGTGTTTCCGGGCATCTAAAATCTCTTTAACCTCAAAATGTTGTTTGTCCTCAATCATTATAGGATCCAGGGGAGGTAGAGTTGGGTGCCACTCTGGTGACTCTTTGCAAGGTTTCAGGAGGTCACTATGAAATACAGGATGAATCCTCTTGAGGGTCAGAGGCAGCTGCAAACAAACCACGATGGGGTTGATAACTTTCTATATTGTGAAAGCTCCCACAAATTGGGGTCCTAATTTTTTCGATGGCTGCAGCATTCTGAGGTGCTTAGCTGATAAGAACACCTTGTCTCCCACCTTCCATTGCTTCTCCGGTGATCGCTTATGGTCGGCATACTTTTTGTAACTTTCCCTAGTGTCTTCCAATGCTGCTTTTATATCCGGCCATATGTCTGTCATTTGCAACCCAATCATCTGCTGAGCTCACCTGAGTGGGCTTCTAAGGAAGTTCGGGGATCGGAACAAAATCCTGACCAGTAACTATTTTGAATGGGGTAGACCCAGTGTGCACTGCGTTATTATAAGCCACCTCAGCAAACGGCAAGAGTTCGTCCCAATTATTTTGT